TACTTCTTAAAGAAAATACATATATAATACATTATTGTATTGTATTTTGTTTCCAATCTTATATTACAATCTTATGGCAACTTTCCAATCTTTTCTCGAAGTATCTGCTTCGTGTCTGATTATATTATAACCAAAAAGAAAACTATTTTAGAAATGAAAATATAAAAAAATTAATTTGACGAATTCGTTATAGCAACCACTCATACAGTCGTACCTCTATAGTTCGCTTTTGTTTTCCTTCATCTTTTAACTTATTATTCATCTATATATAAGAACCTCGTGGCCTGGATTCGTCATTTGATTTGTATAAAAATTTCTTTATTACTACTACACAACGTTCATATACAGTAATAAGTAGTATTATAATGCGTATATTAGTTAATGGGAAAGTTATTGGTTCATTTGGGATTGAAACTCGGACAAAAGAATGAAAAATGTTAATAACAGTTTATTTAGAACACATTTTTTATATATTATTTATTAAAGTATCGTAATTTTATTAATCTTATTTTATATTTAATGAGTTGTATTCATGATTTTGTAATTTCAATAAATATATATAATAAAAAATAAAGAATATGTTGGAAAATAAAACATATTAAACTCATTCTGATATAACTTTGACTAAAAATACAAATCAGGTCTGAATTCGTTAAAGTTGATCTCATTCTCATGGCTCATGATACTTAAAAGGTGGTTGCATGTGGGTATGAAAATAGCATGAAATAATCAAATATATCATCTTTAAAAGTTCAAATTGAACACTTCAACATCATGAATCCACATCAAAAAGCCAAAAGATAAGGAAGAGTTTTGCAACTTCTCCCTTTCGGTGTCTTCACGTTTAATCAAACTCGTGAGTTGTGACATTTTTAATTCAGTTCAACAAGACTACACAATGCATGCCTTTCTCAGACCAACAAAAGCGGAAAAATGAGTCAATCATTTTGTAATAGATAATGATAGCATATGGATATGGGGTTGTGATGATTTTACTGAAAACTACATTATTATCTATATGGAAATGAAGAAATCATTGATTAATTAATACAGATGAGAAAATATCACATATATATAGTTTTTGACTCACTTCATGAAATTTGTGATCTATTATGGTGCTAACTTCATCACATAAATTGGTGCATCTCTGATTAGAAGCCTGCACCATAGTAAAAAAAAATAGATGAATTCATTGACGAATTCAAAGTTATGATTAGTTTATTGATAGATTGCTTTCTTTCTTTTATCAAACACCATAGATTTGGGAGTGTTAGCTTAACGTACCCTAATCATACTTCCAATGAAATTTGAAACCACACGTGGAACTTGCCGACAGTAACATATGATTCAATCATCATGTATGTCAAGACTAGGTCGTGTATAAACAAAAACAAATCAAGTTACTTTTGTCTTGACAATGTAGAAGGATTGATCCACCTGGCACTCTAAACACTTTTCTAATAGTTTCGATAAATAAAATCCTTAAAATTCAAGTAGAAGAGCAATACTAATCTAATTGAAACAAAAGTACGTTGAGCTCTCCCTCAATAGAAACAATAATATTACTAATCTAATAAAAATAACTAATTAACAGAAAGTTAGAAAAATTGAAATATGTAACAATTTAAGTAGTGTGGTTTTCTTGTGGGTAGTCCATAGGAAAATCTGAAAGAGACTTGAAGAACATTCTATCTCTTGAGCTCACAAAGAAGAAAATCTTTGAAGGTTTATATTAATGCTACTAGTATCCAAGTCTAATTTGACTTTGGCAACTAATAGTTGAAAAGAAAATTCCAAGTGGTTGTAACATACACCAGATAATATCCCATAGTCGGTGTAGGTTGGACAAAATGAGCAATTGTATACAACTCCCTATCCTTATTATTTATAGATTCAAAATTTTCAACTCATTCAGTCAACATTTTTGAAAGAAGAAAAATAATATATAAAAAAAAGCTAGCATTTTAAGTGAATGAAAAAGAATAAACCTAAAAGTAAAAACGGAAATTGGAAGATATGTAGTTGGGGGACTACAGGGGACCATATGTTTTTCGGTCTCTATATAAATATAATAATTTTTAATTTTTGCAAAAAAGCAGAAGATAATTTGGCTTTTATAAATTATGAATTTTTTTTTTAATAACATGCCATCTATATAGACATAAGACATATCACGTTATTGGTGAATTTAGTACGAGAGAGAAATAAGATGGATAGAAAAATAAGAAGAAAAAAATTGAAGCAAATATTGAAATAGGTAAAAAAAATAATATAAATCTTAATCGTTTGTAATTTAAGAGAATAATTAAAATAAAATAAAAATCTAAAAAAATAATTACTTTTTGAAATAATAGATTATTCATTGGTTACTTTTTGAAAACCGTTTATTTTTCTTATATATGTTTTTGACAATTTTAAGCTATATATATATATATATATATATATATATATATGTATTCAAACAAGTAAGTTTCGACCATTTATAATAGTTAAAAAATGATTTTCAAGTATTATCTTTGTTATATTTTTGTACAGAAGCAAAGAAATAAAAAAGTATGAGATTCACCTTTTATTCCTCTCCTCTATTTTCTCTATTAAACAAGTTATATTTTTCTTCTTTCATCCATTTCCTTATTCCTTTTTTTTTTCCTTTTTATTTCTTCCTCGTTTCTTTATTATCAAATACACTCTATATGTCACTTCGTAATGGTTGATATCGTAATATGTTTGTATGTATATCATGTCATTACTAAATAATGTCAAAAATTGTTTAAAAGAACTAAATTTATGATCGATAAAACTAAAAACAAAAACACATAGCTAGTCACTAAAATGTAAATTCAACATATATTATAAAGTTTAAAAAGATTTAACCACAATATAACATATATTAGTTGGTACATGTTTGTTCTATTTTAACAAGCGTCTTAAATTTAAATTTTAGATATATAATTTCATAAAATAATTAGAGAAAATGCATAATAATCGTATTCAATTTAAATAAAATTGTCTCTATAACAGAGGATACATGTTGTCAATGAAAAAATAAAAATAAAAAATAAAAAGCAATCGATTATAACTCATTACAGGCAAGAGGGATGAGTTGGCCTATTAGTGGTTAAAGACATGTGCTGTGACTATTTCGACTATCATCATTATTCTTTTGTGAACCTTATCACTAAGTGCGTGTTTTTACTGTTTGAAACGTGTTAAAGAAACATATTCTAATGCAAAAGTAACTTCAACTAAAAAAAAATTGTACAAGTAACAATTTTTCTCTTCCGAGTAAACTTGATTAGGTTGAACTTAACTTGTTTACAAATACACCAGTAGATTCAATAACCTTACGCCTAAGTGCAACTTTAATAACATCGAACAAACTGCATAACCAAGTACTCTGTTCCTCCAAAAGGAGTTGTGAAAGAAAAATGAGCCTTGATCTTTTGTCCAATGATATATGAATTGAAAGGGAAATTTGTGATTCAAAATTCTAAATATTGATTTCATTAAAGTGACAAGTCTCAAGGAAGCCAGAGGAAAAAGAAAAAGTAATCAGATTAGCTTAAAGATGGATCTCGTCTGAGGTTGCATTTGGTCATTTGCCTTATCACCATCAAGATGATGCCCACCAAGCATTAATAAATTTTGAATTGGCCACCTCAACAATAAAACAAGTACCACATTAAATGGATGAAAATCCAAAGGGGTGTGAAAAGAAATCTCGAGCATGACGTCGTTCATGCAACTAATGATAAATTAGAGTATAAATAAAAGTATTATAATGAGTCTATTTTGTACAAGATCATGGCAAAGCTAAGAAACTAGTGTGTATGATATGTAAAATGCCTTTTCCATGGTTTTCCCCGATATGAAGGAAATTTTAGCACCTTGCTGTTCAAACGCCTACGACGATTCCTCTCAAATATTCCTGGAATATGGCTGAACACGACTGAAATGAATGGAAATCAGCACCTACCTGTACTATCCTTCACAAATTATTATGCATTGATTAAAAAACGGTTCTAATACTTACTTTATATGTAATCTCCTGGAATCCTTTCCTTCTTTTTTTTTTTTTTTTTTTTTTTTTTTTTCCAAATGATAGTTCTAGTTTTTCACGGATCTACAAAACAATAGTTTTTTTCCCCTTTAAATGAAATCTATTGTAACACGAAAAGTTTTTTTTTTTCTCTCATTTTTTTTAGACATTTCAGTGATTGTGCAAGTGACTCTATCTGGGTGTTTTTGCAATTTGTAAAATTGACAGTTATTTCAGACTTTTCAGTTGTACCAAAGCCAAAGGTAACGAATAGCTTTGAGTTTTTGTTATGACGTTTGAGTGTGGCGATTTTATCCATTGAAATATGATTTCAGTGCTACTTGCCCGTTCACCTTCTTGCATGGTTTTCAAGCAAGAACTTCCAACACAATAAGGTCCCTACCTTAACTTTGCTTTTCATTGTTTCATGAACTTCCAAGACAATAAGGTCCCTACCTTATCTTTGCTTTTCATTGTTTCATTAATTCATTTAAGATTAAACGGCCCAACAGTGCACAAAATAAACCAATTTACTTTGTAAAAACAATTCAATTAATCAATCCATTCTTTCAAAGTTAATAAGTTTGATTCAATTTTTTGATATATAAGTATGAAATAAATAACTAAACTACACCGAATCGATCCAATTTAAAAATTAAATTAATTCATTTTGTAAAAAATGATAATAGATCATTTTTTTATAAAATAACTTCAATTTTTATAAAATAACTTGATTAACCATATAAAATGAATTGGTTCAGTTGAAAAATCTTATTCATGAACAGCCCTAAAGCAACCTAATCAAGGGGGAGAATGAGGTTGAGAAAGGAGAAGAAACAATGGAAATGTTCTCAATCCATATGCATGCAAGGAAGAAGGAAGAATAAGAGATGGAGATTTTAAGAGGAGGGAAATATTTAGATGGAAATATTTAGATGCAAAAGGGGAGAGTAGACCAATAGATACATCCAAACCAAACATAACATTTCTTCTTATTCAATTGGACTAGAAAATTTTGATATGGATTGAGAATACAACCGAAATGCCTACTTAGCTTGAATTACAGAACATATACAACAATTATTTATAGAAAAAAGGCAATAAGGTAGTAGTGATTTCCCCTCCTTTCTATTCCTCAAGACTCAACCTATCAGCAATCACAAAATCTACACCTCCCCACCACATTATGTTAGCAACCTAAATAACTAGCAGAGCAATGGAGATGAGAAGTAACTGATTAAAGGTGAAAAATGAAAGAGTAGATATTATCAGCAATAAGTTAGACCATTACAAGATACTGAAGATGACTATCATGATATCATCTGCATAAAAAAATATCCTTCCCAAATTCAGAATCCTTGTCCCTACTGTGCTCAACAACCCTTGTTCCGGTTGTTGACCATTAGTTCTTACCAAAGTCTCATATATTCTGCAACTGTGAAAAGGAGATACGAATTACTGAGCCAGAAAGTGTGCTGGCATGCTTGCACACAAGGGCTTCAGTAGCCTGCTCCTCATTCTCAAACTGAACCAGAGCCTGTTTTTTCCCATTCATCTCAAACACTTTGCTGTTAGTAATTGTTCCATGCTCCTCTACTAGGCTCACAATCTCCTCTTCAGTGATGTCTTGTGGGAGTGTTGACAAATGGATCATCTTTGTTGGGGAGCAGCAATACCGGTAATTCTTAGCTGCGTTACGGTTGAAACGGTTGAGATTTGAGTTAACGTATTCATGTGTGTCAGCACCTTGGGTTATGTTTGGATGCTTGGAGAAGTTCACCTCTAATCGCTTCTCGAACAACATTGCTCCCTACATCTCAAAGTTGAAAATGTTTGAGACCAGCTTACAAGTTACAACCAGAATAGAAGGAATATAAAAATTAATTGCAGGATGACTAAAGGATCCAACAAGCATCCAAGTGTAAATGTGCAATCTTACATCGTCTTTATGTAAAATTGCTACCAGTTCAGTACAGAAAATGAATAATACAGTTTATTCTTCTATTTTCTCGCTGAAGTTTAGGTGATTCATGTTTAATGACGTTAAACAATGTCAACTCGTCAGGATATTCAACTTCGGTTTTTTGTCAACAGTATATTTAATGCCACCATCTCAAAAGCAAGAACCAATACCAATGATGAAACAAAATCGATGCAGGTCATACAAAAGCATCAAGAAAACAAAACCACCAATAAATGAAATTAATTAAGAGTTTGGGTAAAAGAATTTTCATGGACCGTTGGAGACAATGCCAGAAGACATGGAAAAATGTTCCTTGAGGAGGAGGATGTATTTTGAAGTAAATTTATCAACAGAATAATCAAAATATGATAAATTTAATAGGGAAGCCTAAATACAGGTTGAATTAAAAACTGACGAGAAGAATCAAACCTGTGAAAAAGAAAAGTGATTTTGCTCATACCAAACTTTCTTCATTTGCTTTTAAAATTGTACAAAATCACTAAGCAAACTTGCGATGATTTGTTAAATATAGACAATCAAATTGTAGACAAAAAAATTTGAAATTGTATATACAATGATACATAACCTGGAACAACAATAACTTATCGGTTGAGTAAAGATTATAACAAAAATGTAGTATCATAATATACAAACAGCAAGATATAGATATGAGACACACCTTCAGAAAGTGTACAGCTAATTCAGCTTGAAAGCCATCTCCCATCTGGATAAGTGCATGATCTGGTTTATTTCGCAGAAGTTTAATTCTCACAATATTCCCATAAATAGAGAACAAGTTGAATAGTTTTTCCTCGTCAATTCTCTGAAATAAGCAAATTTCAGGCTAAATGAGCTGAGAAATGGAGAGAACTTTCTAGAAGCCTGACAAAATGCTTACATCAGGATTCAGATTTGATACAAGAATTGTACACCTGTCATTTGTCCCAGTTATTCCAGGAGGCAAACCTCCCCCAAAGGCAGCTGCAATGGCTGCAGAATTTCCCATCTATAATTGAAAAAATAATAATAAGTTGTTCTGTTTTTTCAAAAAGAAAGAAAGCATCTCCATTTCATGCATTTCTGTTGACAGTTTACTAAAAATTAAAAGATAAAATTATATGTTCATATTATCATGTCATTTATCTCAAAGTGGAAAGAGATCTCATAGTTCAAGAAGCCAAAACCCAACACACAAGCTCCTCCTCTCTCCCAATTAAACCCCAATTTGAAAAGCAAAACCAACTTTAAAGCGAAAGCCCTAACACGTGAGATAAACAAAATTTCTTAGAAATTGGTTGGCTACAATCATTACAAACTTTGTATTTTATACCTATATATTTTAGAAAGATCGGTAAAAGAAGAGATTAGCCATGACACATCTCTATTGATACTTTCAAAAGAACAAAAAAATTAATGATGATAACTTCTTATATTTAACTGTACAAGAATAATATCTAATTGGGACTTCAACTTGATGTGAAAAATACCCACCTGCGGAAATCCGGCTGGAAAGAGGAAAACAGGACAAACATCAGTACATTAAAAAATGACACAATATGATAAACAAACCAAACCAACCAAAGCAGTTTAAAATAGTTATCACCTGTCCTGGCTCCAGAACCTTGAGCAGCATACATGTTTCCTCCATCACCATATCCAGGCTGCTTAACAGTAGATGAAAGGAAAAATATATATATTAGAATGGACTTCACAAATATTTGATTCATTAATAGATAAATAAAGAACCAAACATAACATACTTGTGAAGGCCTGCCTTTCTGCTCTGTAGGGAGATTTGGGTTTGTGAAGTCCCTGTGAAAGATGAAATAAAGTCAGCAATGGGATAAGTAAGATGCCAAAAAGAGATTAACAAATGAGCAAAAACACAAACATGAGAACTGACTGAATCACCTTGATCGGTCATTATTGTAGTTCACTTGTAATTCATCAAGACTGCAATTAAGATGAATTAAATGTTCATTTAAGAAAATAAAAGACATTTTTTTTTGGCGGGGGGGGGGGGGGAGGGAGATGGTTTTTTGG